AAGACCTACGGTGCACTATCCTCAAAATGTTGCGCTGTGGGCAGGAGCGAGCACTCCACCTCAATCTCCATGGTCGCAACAAGATAGACTTTCCATCCCTCATGAACGTCCAACTCAGGAGAGCCTACTGTATTGACGTCAGCATGAAGTAGCTGTCTGAAGTCCACCGTTGGGTCACTTACCTTCCGGTCTTCAGAGAGCGTCGCCTATGATGAGGAAAGAGTCGCGTCGTCCACAGTTGCCGCCAGAGACCCTGGATCCCCAAGCACTCCGGTTGAACGGCCTGTGAAGATACATGGATGCAGTGGGACCAGAATATTCAGCATTTCCGTCATGCAGTTGGAAAAAGTTTGGGACGTACTATTTATGGGCTAGGTGTCTTTTTTAGTGCTCACCCCCCTATATCGGGGGAGTGGACCATAGCGGAAGATTAGGTTCTACGTGCCTTATGACTCGAAGGTCACACGGATGCGGGCGTATTTTCGCGCCAAACCAGCATGTGGAAATATAGGGCTTAGCAGAGATAAGCACGAGAATGCTGAGTTATGGGCAAAGTCCGACCTCCAGACGGAACTCGAACCTGCATATTTCGCTTACCGAAAGAGTGCGCTAACCATTAGGCTATTGAGGACGCTCTTGCCCTCTTGGCTTGATGGTTTTTGTGCCAGGTGTAGGGTAAGATCAGCACAGTTGTAATGGGCTCTTCGCCACAACTACTAAAACAACTTCCAAAATTACGGCTTACATAACAAATTCCCTAATCATTATTGAAGATAGTCCGCAGTCCTGCTCGGAGGAGGGTTTCAAACAAGATTATCCTAGTAAATCCTAGAGCACCAGAAAAACCGTGTCTCATACGATCGTCACCAAATACAAATGTGGTGTCTCGTGTAATTAGCTCACTCAGGGCAAGCGCTTTGAAGATGGTGGAGTACCGGTGAAGTGGGGGGAGGGGGAGTGCTTTCACGAAATTTTATTTGTCATGGGATCGTCTTCAGCAGGAAAGAATAGAAACGCACACCCGAGGAGTTCGATGACCAGGCTGGATCATAGGTGATTTGGTCAAGATTGACCCAGATAGGCAACCCCGGTCTAGCAGTCTTTCGCGCTCTTATGTAGCCTTAAAGGGTAATAGCTCTTATTCTGCCTGTTGCTCAACAATAGGTGTACGTAACCAGGACCAGGGTTGTTGGATATTCCCCAAAAGGAGGCGGGGTCGTATTCGGCCAATGGGGTCGTATTTTCCTCGCGTTTCCCCGTTTGCCCGTTTCACATGTGTTATTTCCCCTCCCCCGCTCGACAGCTCGACCAGGGAACCGGGGGGATCGTACCAACCCCAAAAAATGGGGGGACGAACTTGACCAAAAACTGCCCAAACTCCAGAACAAGCCATAATCAGTAAGACTTTGGGTACTCCGTCGAGAAATGACTGTCTCGTAAAGGGTAAGTGCGTCCGCCGTTGCATGTGAGGGTGATATTTACTGAGAAGCTCTTACATGGAATATAATCCGTTTTGAATCCGCTTTATGTTTGCGAAGACACACCAGACCGCATGAGAAAGGGATCCTCTCGCACGTCGTTTGTGGCCTGACGCTTGCCGCCGCTGTTTGAGCAAGCTGTTGGGAGTGATCCCAGTCTGCAGGGCGCAGAGCGCTTGAATCGAAGCCTGCAAGATTGCAGGAAAGAGAACCGAAGATCAGAACTCCCATTCTATCCCACGAAATTACAACGAAAGCTTTTACGAGGTGGTACCTAGTTGACCTTTCGCTGGTCACACCATCGGCGATCCTTTCTGCTTATTCATGAACAGCGACAGACTCATTTTTCACAGTCACGGTTTCGACATGGGAGGGCGACAATTGGTAATTGTGCAAATGCGTGTTTTTTGATCGTCCAGAAATGCGTTTTGTCCGTGACTGCGGTAGAGCACAAAAGCGACATCATCGCGCACTCATTAACAATGTAATCGACACTTAGATGTGAAGTGGTCGTAAACGTGCGTTCGGGCTGACCGACATCTCTGGTTTCTCTCGTCAGGGACCCTCGTGGCAGCGGATAATAGCCACGAGACGACAATTGCGGTTATGTAAGACCGCCAAACGGCACCGCTACAGACGCCCACGCGTAACGGACCATCTCGTCGTACGAGACAGCGCGTCAAATGTTGAGAAGCAGGTGGTTGGCTGAGAGAGCTGTGGGTAGCACTAGGGCGACGACAGTCGTTAAGAATGATAATGGAGCCCGGACGATGTGGAACTTGACGTGTCTAATGGCCGTTAGCAAGCTAACTACACCCGAAACGGATTGTTTGCTAGGATATATGGCTCAATGAAAAGATAGCTATTGGCAGAGCCGAGTATGAAGTCCTGGAAATCACAAACGCATTTCAACTGGGAATCGGAATCAAATGGGGGGGGGACATCACAATCGCTTACAGTTATTCGTCTTCTCGAAGCCCTAGTAGTTCTAAAGAGACAAGCAAGGAAGACAAAAGTCGGAAATCGGAAGTCGGAAGCTACGCACGTTCTAGAGCAAGCGAGAATTGTGATGGCTAGATACGACAATTGTCAGCAAAGAAAGTTCATGCCGTCCTGCAAGCCAGTGTGTCAGCATTTTAGGACTTGTTCATGAGATGAAGAGGGGGTAGGAACGTTCCCACGTACATCATAGAGGAGATAAATTCTGCACTGATTCCCGGTTAGGCCAACGAAGTTCTCCACGTACAGCACGCTGCATGGAACGGAAAAGGACTACCCACAATCTCCGAAGTACCGTTACATCCTTACTCATAGCGTGCCCTCGCTACATACAGTACCGCCAATATAGCCTTTTTCTTCTAGAGGCCGAAAATCTGCAACTAAATATGATTCTAGGACCTTCGGCGACGGGAAGGGGGAGGCATTTTGCCCTTTATTACTTTACATTTGCGTGTTGACCCATATAGATGCCATTTTGTGAGCTTACAAAAGTTGACAGGTTTCGTCGTGGTGGCTTGACGACCTTGCTCCAGCTTCACAAGGGTTTACAAGTCTCACCAGAGTGACTGCAAACCGGAATTAGTGAAGCAGCGAAAATGAAAATGTCCCCTCCGCCGCGCCTGATTCGGAACATGATTGTGGAGCACATCATCGAAATCAGAGCGATAAAAAAATCGTAAATCTCCATGTCCAACAAAACTCTAGTTGGACTCGGACTCAGTGCCATTGGAAACTAGAGAAGAATTGCAGATTGTAAACTACTGAGACTGTCCGTTCGTCAAACATTCGAAGAACTGTGTGAACTGTCAAAAGCTAAAGCAGATCATTCTAGATGCTGATGATATGTTGACGATTGTCTACAAAAGATGAAGGGGTAAAGTCTTGTTCGTCAATCCCTATTTTTGGAAGTGGCACGAATTCAGGCTTCTATTCAAACTCCTTTGGTGCTTTTTGCACTACGACGCGGCGCTCATGCCAACGCTGAGGGGACTAGCCGAAGGGTCCAGTCAATGTTTATCCTCCCAGACTTATTCACCGTCCCCGAACGGTTAAAGAATCATGGATTGGCCTAGGCGGAAGCAGATACCGGGGCTTGACAAATTCCGTGGACTTGGGCGCCGTAATAAGCGTGCCATTTGTTACTTGCACCACTCATGCCCTAAGATTGTTATATTCATCGGTAAGTAATTGTCCATGAGAGATGGTTCTGATTCGGTAATTCCAAAAGGCCATAGAAAATACTAGTCTATCAGAAATCCTGTTCCACCCTTCACATTCCGGGCTACCTCTTTATCAGCCTAAAACCTTTCCAAAACGCCAGCTAGAATAAGGAGCCGTAACAGAAATGAGTTTGCTAGCACTTAATGATGTAGTGCACAAGTTACTTCCGGACCATACGTAATCAAGCTACCGTAACCACAGACATCATCCTGAAACGGTAATTATTCGGACTTCCTGTTACTTCATCATCTCTTTGATAGGGCCGTCCACTGAAAGCACATGCTGGGTGTCGGTAAATAACACCCATTAGGAGGGCAATAGATGAGGTCGATGAGGACACCTGTGTTCTTACCGATGTCTCCGCTCACACCTATCACCCAGGTTAGATGGGCGTAAACAATGCCTTTTAATAAGGGCCAGGGATCCCGCTCAAGATCTGAGCCATAGGAAAACTCCAGCACCATGCAATGTATTGAAAAATCTAAAGAGCGATCAATAACTCGGAATGGTAGGTTTTTTCCTGAAATGCCGCCATACATTCGGGCGGAATAATCGAACTTCTACCAGCGATTGGAATGCATATTTGGCTCTACCTTAATTTTCCAAGAACCAGCCACTGTACAAAACCAATGCTCACCTCGTAGTCAAGAGTACCTACTCAAAAAAACGCTTCAGTCCCAGACTGCTATCTGATGCGCGGCACCCAAAGGCGGCTTCCGCGAGAGAGTGCGTTCCGAAGAGACATGTCAGAATGGTAAAGAAAATACAGTCATAATCCCTGCCAACAACAAGAGCGGCATGTCAAGGGCATGGACTGCGACGTAAAGTAGCTCGGCCTTTTTCACAATGCATTGCAGTTTTTACCGAAAGATCGCCTGGTTTTGCGTCTAATCTGTAGCCATTTGTTCTTCAAAAATGACAAACCATCATTATAAAAAGTCGCTCTAGCTTTGCTCCAATTCACGCTCCTCTTCTTTTCTGCAGAACGATTTTACACAGCGAAAGGTACGAAAACTACAATGTCAAGCATCTTTTGGTTGAAAAAGCGGAAGTAAGGTCCCAGGGCTATGAAGGATCGGGTTAAGCGATGACATAGCACTGAGCTTTGTTAGTGGTTTTTTTCCTGGGGCTATAAAAAAGTTTCTAAATGAAAGTTTGTAAGGTACTCAAGAAGCCGTGGGAAATTATTTATTTCCTATAGAAGGTTGGAATGGTTGATTTTAAAAATATTCACTGAGCATTGTCTCGTGTTAGACTGCAAACGATGCATAGTCCGTTTGAAGCAGGAGCGGTCGTTTCACTTTCCTCGATCCGATCGCAAATGGAATCCATTACCGCAATGGTTCGTGACTGACCGACACCTGAAAGAAAAGGCAAACTTGGAAAGAAAGCAAAAAAAAATGCATAGAACGGGCGCGCAGTCTGGCGACGGCGGGACATTTTAGCACTTTTTGTGCTTCCCAACAAAAGTGGTCGACCTTCTAGACAGTCTCTTCTGAGTTGAACAGGTTTTTTTCCATGATGGGCCTTTCGCTCCAGTTCACAAGAGTTAACAGGCTATTTGTCCAGAGTGAGCACTTCGTAAAGCGGGAATTACAGGGAGCAATGAGGAACCAATGCACGCACAAAGGTCCCCCCTCCGTCGCCGAACTGCGCCCATGGAAACGTCAATCACACGGCCATTCTGCATTACACCAAACATTCGGTTGTTCTTTAGCACTTCAAGGATGCCGAAGAAATAAGCAAGAAACAACTGAGGGGAAAAACAATTCAAACGGAATAAATGCATTGCAACTTGTGACGATTAGTTATAAACTGTCGAGACTTTTACAGACTCTAATTGGCCCGAGTTGCCCTTTTCAGGAGGTCTGTGTTGGGGGGTTGTATCTCTAGAGACATCCTAAGCTAACCTAAGCATAAAGGCTATCAGTGAGCCATGACGGAGCAACGTCCCAATAGAACAGTAGTAAACTCACACTGCTTATGGAACTCCAATTTGTCGGTTTTGATGAACAGTGCTCGAGAGAGCGGTGACCGTTGGCCATCCTTGAAAACCGCTGTGGCGCTGAACATGTAGAACCAATCGTATCGGAGGTCGGGAAACACAACCTAAAAATGTAACTTTGGGAGTGTACCTGTATACTGTGGAAGCGGGTATCTGGACCATAACTACCAATCAGTAATGACTTCCCAATTGTGATGCTTCGTTCAGAACTTTAGTCTATGAAAGGTAAAACGTTTTGCCTAAGCCGGGACTCAATCCGAACCGCCTCTTCAAGCAGTGCACCACCCCCCCCCTCACATCACCGAGCGTATGCATGCTGCGCTTAATCGGAGCAGAGTAGAAATCTGTGAGCGTGGGAATAAGCTGCAACTGAACCCCTTCTCCACATGCGTTTCAAAAAACAATTTTTCATGAATTTTTTTCACTTTTTCATGAACTCATGATTTCATTTTTTTCCAATGAATCCGTCCGACAACATACTTATTCTGTCTTTTTAAATGTAGTTGACATGATGACTGCAATTATCTTGTTGTTTTTATCACTGCAAAACTGTTAGGTCCAATGGTCCTGCGTTGAACTTCACCATTCTGCTCACCTTTGATGTCCCAAGGGGAACTTGTCGACGCGGAAAATGCGGGCAGTGCACTAATAACGTGAAAGAGCTCTACTCCTCTACAAACTTGCAAAGTTCCTGTACTGATTCACATTAGCGCAAACCCATTTCAGCAAGCAGGATTTTTGAAGAAGTTACAAGAAAAAAAACTGAAGCTCTACACACCAGTCAAATACTGTCCCCGAAGAGGGTTCATCAAGAAAGAGTGCCCCGTGAGTCCGTTTACCTTAGACTCTGTCATTTCCAAAGAGTTGTGCCCTGTTCACATCTCTTATGTGAGCTTTTCGTGAATGCTCACTTAAACAGATACACTTATAAACAAGAAAGGGCTTTATTGCTATA